GCGGGCCCTACAGGTTCCGCGTCGAGATCATCAATGGCGACCGGTGGTCGGCGGCACGGGACGTGATGCTGAGTGTTTTGGGTGGGTATGGTGGTGAGACACCACCCCCCCCAGCCCCCTGCCCGCCCACGCCACGCTGACATCCCACTCTCTGCTCTCCATCCCCAGACACCCTCGAGCACCCGAGCACTGCCGCCAGCAAGGAGCAAAACGAGGGGCAAACGACCACCTTGGAGTGCTCTACACCCTACGTCTGCCCGCCGGGTGATGTCGCCCTACGCTGGGAAGGCTATGACCCCAAGGTCTCCACACTGTCTGGACGGGTCCAGCTGGACACCAGCGGGGTCGGCCACCACCTGACCCTCACCACCTCCTTGTCCTGGAAGGACCACTCCAAGAAGCTGCTCTGCGAAGTTTCTTACGGCTCCAGGAAGGCAACTGGGGAGGTCGTCCTGCGGGTGAGACGTACGTGGGGCAGCTCTGCATGGGGGCTGGCTGAGCAGGGCAGGGGGATGGGGTCACCTGTGCCATGGCTGCACCACCCAGGTCCTCCTGCTGCCACCCATCATGACTCCCCGTCTGCTTCCCTCCTGGTGTCCTTTGCAAAAAGCCAGAGTGGAGTTTCCTCCTGCTTCTCCCTCCCTCTCTTGTTGCCCCATGCTTCTCCATGGCCAGGGCTGACATCGGTCACGTAAATGCTGCTGAAGTGCCAGCTCCAGCTCCGTGGCACGTCATGGCACCCACCGCTGTGCCCACCTCTCTCTGCTGCCATGTGGCAGCTTCGCCCCCTTTCCCTGCTCTCCTCTGAGAAGACATGCCCTCCCTGTTCCTGCCCTGGCTCCTGTGCCTGGACGAGACTTTTGCTCCTTTTCCTGTACCAAACCCTGGTGAATAAACAGCAGGATGGGCTATGGGCATCGTCCCGCGGGTCCTGCCCAGCCTCATCGCTGCCCCCCGTGTCTGTCTGTCCCCTAAGGACACCCAGGTGTCGGTCAGCCCCTCCACGCAGAACATTCTCATGGGCGATACAGTGTCCCTCACCTGTGAGGTGAGCAGCAGCTACCCCCCCATCTCTGCGTACCGCTGGTACAAGGACGGGGTGGCCGTGGGCAGCGAGCAGATCCTGACCCTCCGGGGCATTCGCCGTGACGACTACGGGCAGTACCGCTGCGAAGCCGAGAACGCTGTCGGAGCCGGCGCGGCGCCCGCCGTGACGCTCTATGTCATCTGTGAGTGTCAGGAGAGGTTGCCCGAGGCTGGGGAACTGCTGGAGGAGCAGCGGGGCCGTGGGAGTGGGATGGGGTTTACCCAGCGAGTCCGGACTGGGCTGGGCAGGGGCTGACACTGAGGTGGCCGATACCGGCTGGGGGTCTGGGAGCTGTGGAGTCTGTGGTGGAGGACTGTGATGCCTCCTCCATCGTGTCATGCCCGTGTCCTTTGTCCTTCAGGGCGCAGGGCCGTGGTGAGCCCCAAAGACAGGGAGGGGGGTGGATTTCCAGCCATGCCCAGGGAGCGGAGCTGGCTGTGAGGCTTCGCTGCCTCTCCTGTGAAGGTTTCCAGAGCTCATGGGGATTTGGAGCCAGGGTGGTCTGTGGGGAGGGGAAAGCCAGGGTGCCCCATCAGATCCTGCAGTTGAGACAAGCCCCAGACTGCCACATCAACCCGGGAGCCTGCCCGTGTGGGAGCCCCACAGGGAGCATCTCCCCCCCCAGCCTGGAGCAGGCAAGGCTGGTCTGCCCCCCCAGAACCCCCCATGCAGACCGTGAGAGGTGAAGGACACTGCCTCAACCGCCGTGAGATTTGGCCCTGAGGCTCTGCATTAAAGCCAGAACTTGAACCCCAGCTGGCAAGGTGGTGGTGGCAGGGAACAAATCATAGAATCACAGAATGTTTTAGGTTGGAAGGGACCTTGAAGATCATCAGGGGTTCCAACCTCCCTGCCATGGGCAGGGACACCTCCCACTAGACCAGGTTGCTCAAAGCCTCATCCAGCCTGGCCTTGAACACCTCCAGGGATGGGGCATCCACAGCTTCTCTGGGCAACCTGTGCCAGTGCCTCACCACAGTGAAAATTTATTTCCTAGTACCTAATCTAAATGTACCTTCTTCCAGTTTGAAGCTATTCCTTCTCGTCCTATCGCTACGTGCCCTTGTAAAAAGCCCTTCCCCAGCTCTCCTGTAGGCCCCCTTTGGGTACTGGGAGGCCGCAAAAAGGTCTTCCCGGAGCCTTCTCTTCTCCAGGCTGAACAGCCCCAACTCTCTCAGCCTCTCCTCACAGCAGAGGTGCTCCAGCCCTCCGATCATCTTTGTGGCCCTCCTCTGGACCCGCTCCAACAGGTCCATATCTGTCCTTTGTTGGGGGCCCCAGAGCTGGACGCAGTACTCCAGGTGGGGTCTCACCAGAGTAGAGTAGAGGGGAAGACTCACCTCCCTTGATCCAAACACCTCCCACCTCCATCATCATCCCTGGGGGGCAGAGGGAGTCCTGCCTGTCCCCGGACTCTGTCCTGTGCCGCGGGGGGCTCGGCAGGGTAGGTCTGTTTTCCTGTCTCCGAGGCCATCCTGAACACCCTCCCATCTCCGCCAGCTGCAGAGATCTCGGTGAGCCCCGCGGCCGAGGTGCAGGAGGGGACGGCCACCACCTTGTCCTGTGACGTCCCTGGCAGGGAGGGCCAGCAGCTCAACTACACCTGGTACAAAAATGGCGCCTGGATCAAGGAGGGCACGGCGCACACGCTGCTTTTCCACCGCGTGGCTGCCAGTGACGCCGGTTATTACTCCTGCAAGGTGACGAACGACCGGGGCAGCGACACGTCCCAGGCCATCAGCCTGAGCGTGACATGTGAGTGCCCACAGCTCCTGCCAGGGGATGGGGGGAGTGTTCTCCCCAGACAAGGGTCACTCCGTGCCAGGGGCTGCGCAAACCCCTTGAATCAAAGCAAAGGCTCTGCCCCAAATGCCTTGGGTCCAGTTGAAAGGCGGGTTTCGGTCCTCCAGGGTAGAAGTTGCTATAAATGCAACAATTTCTGGTCACAAGCCGCATTTGACGGTACCGTTAAGTGGTATTTGCGGCAGGAGGGACCCGTCCCTTCACTGCAGCATCTCCCACTCCTCGACTCATCTGTTACACACCACAAACTGCTGGGAGGTTACTAACCGAGGAGCCAGCTATGATAATAACAGCTTGGGAGCTTTTGCAAGTCAGGGGAAAAATAAAAGAGCCCTGGGTTTGGCTCTGACATTTCTGTGAGTAAATATAACCCGCTGACGTAAGGGGGAAAGCCGCTCGGAGGAGCAGCTGTGGGGGCCGGGGCTGGACGTGTCCCACGTGCAGCTGTGCGGCACCGCTGGGACCTCCCGTGCTGCAGCATCCTCTCTCCTCCCACAGACCCCCCCCGGACCCCCACCGTCACCCTCTTCCAGGAGACGCAGGGGGGGAGGCTGGCCATCATCGCGGCGCCCGGGGGGGGGGTGCCCCGCCCAGCCGCAACGCCCTGCGGCTGGAGATCCGCGACGCGGGGCCGCAGGACAGCGGGGAGTACCGCTGCACAGCCAGCAACGCCTACGGCAACGCCAGCGCCACCAAGACCTTCGTCGCCCGCGGTGAGTGCCGGCTGGTCCCAGTGCTAGGGGGCTGCCAAGCTCCTGGCCCCGGGTCACAGGTGCCGATGAACCTCCGGGGCTGTTGGGGCTGTTTCTGCAGGGCTGAGGGACACACACACACACATGCAGCCCTGAGAGCTGTGGGGAGCCATGTGGCACCAGGGGACATCGGTGTCTCGGGGACCGTGTGGTGGTGGTGCGGCCCTTTCCCACCTTGGGGAGTCAAAGCTGCTTGCAGAGCTGGAGGCGCTCCTGAGTATTGTTTTTCAAAATGCCGTAAAATTTGCAGCAAAGTTTGTCCAAACTCTTTCTTCCCTGTTCCCGCAAGCCCCCAACTTCGTGTGGCATCTGGGCACGCAGTGGTGACCGACTCCTCCTGCTCCATCCCCTAACCCTCTGCACCCTGTGGCTCCCCCAGCCTTGATGGTTTGGGGTGACAGAGGCAGTGGCTATGGAAAAGGAGGAGAGAAAAGCTCCCCAAAACCATGTCCAAGAGGAGCCTTCCTTAGGATGTCAAAAGAAACCAAAATGGACCTCAGGGTCAAACTTCGGAGAAAATAAGCCTGAGTTTGGGTGCCACAGTGGTCAGCTGGGGTCCATTTCAAGTTGGCCAAGATGCCTCCAGCCCAGCCTGTCACCCACCAGCGGGCAGAGGGGACCGAGCCTATCCTGGGAGCAGTTCACCCAGCTGTACATGGGCGCTCAGAGAGAGCAGGTGAAGGCTCAGGAAAGGCCCCGTTTGTCTCTGCTGGTGGCAGTGAGTGGCTCAGGTGGAGACATCCCAGCTGACATCCAGTTTCCCCAGGGAACATCACCCACCACAGATGCAGCCACCAACACCACGGGCTCCTGCAAGGGAGGGGGCTGCTCAGGTCCTGCCTTAGAGGGAAGCTGAGCGCAGGGCTTTGGCTGGACGGAGCCAGGGGAAGGGCGAAGGGTTGCGGGAGGGGTTCCCCCTCCCTCCCTGACAGGGTTCCCATCCCTCCTCCAGCTACAGAGATCCTGGTCCAGCCCTCGGCGGAGGTGCGGGAAGGGGCAGCCGTCACTCTGACCTGCCTGGGGGCTCGGGGTGCTCCGGAGGAGACCCTCTACACCTGGTACAGGAACAGCAAGCGGCTGCGGCAGAGCTCGACCCCGACGCTGCGCTTCCCCTCCATCCATGGCGAGGATGCGGGTGCTTTCCAGTGCAGGGTCCAGACCAGCAACGGCAGCGACACGTCGGTGGCCGTCCCGCTCCGTGTGCTCTGTAAGTGCTGCCAGGAGGTATCCCCCAGCTAACGGCCAGGACAGCGAGGGGGGGTCCTGGGTCTGGGCTGGGTGGCCCTGCTGGGAAGCTCCTGTGCTGCTCCCACCCTGAGATGTCCCCCATTGCTGCCAAACACGGCCAAAGAGCTCTTGGGCAGAAATGTGGAGAGGGCAGAAAATTCCCTTTTGCAGGTAGGTCTGTGAATTCGGGGGGGGTGGGGGGGCAGAAATTCGGAGAATCCCAAAATTCCCAAGGATCAAAGAGTTTTAAAATGTCCCATAAAATTAAATTCAATTTCTCAGAACAATAAATCATCCCTGTAAAAAATACATTCTGGTAGGATTTTTCCTTCCAAATATTTTCTGTGCTGTAAAATAAAAATATTCTATGATACCAAACCAGGAAAAAAAAAAAAACCACTAGGAATTTTCAGTCAAAATGGCATTTTTCTGTAGTTGTGGTAGTAAATGTGCGTCACAACTGGACCCCAGCAGATGCCTGAACCACTGGGGTCTCTGCAGATCGGCTCCAGGGTTTGGGGTAGGTCTGGGGACCTGCACTCGGACCCTGAGCTCAAGCGAGGTGACAACAGAGGTGCCTGGGGCGTGCAGGTCCCTTGCAAAGAGCCAGCAGAAGCGGGACCCTGGGGTCTGGTTGTGGGATGCTGAAGAGCTACTCAGGTGGCACTGGAAAGTATCAATCCCTCAGGTTCTTGGGGTTCTCCCAACCTCAGGAATCCATAATATTCTCACCAGAGGTGTTTTAACCCTGCAGTCCCACCGAGGCAACCGGTGATGAGCTCCTTCCTGGAGATCCAGAGCGGGCACCTGGGCATCATCCAGTGCACCGTTGAGAGTGACCCAGAGGCCAACCTGACCCTATGGAGAGGAGGAGAAGTCATAGCCTGCACATGGGGCTGCCCCACAGCCCCCAACCCCAGGGTCCACGCCACCTTGTCCTACAACAGCCTGAAGGTGGAGATCCGAGAGGTGGTGCTGGAGGACGAGGGCACCTATGTGTGCTGGGCTGGGAACCTGCAGGGCAACGCCAGCGCAGCCATGGACTTCAGGGCTGAGAGTGAGTGTGGTGAAGGGGCGGTGGGCAGGATAGAGCCAGATGGCACACATCTCCGCAGCTCCTGGGAAAATCCGGGGAGAGGAGAGGCTGGGAAGGGAATGCCAGGGAAGGAGACAAGCTTAGGAGATCAAGGGCGATAGTGGTAGAAGGACAGAATGAGCAGAAGTAGGCCACATGCCCATGAAATTCAGGGTGTCAAGCAGCATCTGTCTCAAAAGAGCTGCTGTGCACAAGTCACCCGGTGCTAGGGTGGAGCGTGAGTGGGGTTAAAGTGGGGGCTGCTACAGGAGGGTGGGTGTGCCGGCTCCTCCAGCCTCTCCTGGTGGGTTTGGAGGGTTCCTTCATGGCCAGGGCTAGGGCTCCAGCTCCTGCTGGGGATTCCCTGCTGACCCCTGTCCATGCAGGACCAGGGACGCTGAGCAAAACGCTGCTGAGGGGGTTCCCACGGGCCCCCTCCTGCCGGCACATCATCCCTCAGCTGGTACCAGCCACCCCATCGCCGGGGTCCTGTGGGTGCTACTCAGGATTAGCCAGCATTTGCCTTCTCCTGGAATAGCCACGAAGTCACTTGCCAGCTGGCCGGCCTCGGGAGGGGTTGTTCACCCTAATGCCCTCGAGGTGGTGCTGGCCGTCCTGGTGGACTTCATGCCGAACCCTGTTTGCCTCCCGCCTCTACCCCTGCCCGTAGCTGCCAGCATCGCAGTGGCTCCGTCCCTGTGCCAGCTCTAGTGCTCACCGGACCCTCTGCTGAGATAACTGATATCACTGGAAGGAAACTCTCCACAGCTGGGCCCAAGGACAACCAGTGCCCACACTCGGCCGCCTCCCTGGTGTTTCGGCAAGTGGCCAGCACGGACGCGGGTCTCTACCACTGCAGAGTCACCACCGACGGCAGCAGCCGGAGCTCCCCCACCGTCTCGCTGGACGTGCTGTGTATGTACGGACTGCTGGGGGACCCTCAGTTGGTGGCGATTATGATGATGATTATTATTATTATTATTATAATCTCAGGGTTTGTAGCTTATGTCTGTGCAAGCATGCCCACCTCTGCACACACTTGCAGCTGTGCCTGGGGTCTGGGCAGAGCTGATGTGGGTGCACATCTGGGTCTTTGAGAACATATCTATGTCCTGGGGCTTCCTCCTGCGAGTGTCCTTCCCTTCCCTTCCCTTCCCTTCCCTTCCCTTCCCTTCCCTTCCCTTCCCTTC